TTCCATACGCTTAGATGGTCTCCGCTTTAAGTTTAGTAGATTAATAAAACATGATTATTTCTTGCATGCTTTTTTATTATTCATATTACATGTGCACTATTATTTATTTTTTTAATTGCACCTTTTCTGTTTAAAAAATAAACTTAAAAACAGGCATTTTAGGGATGGAACGGATTATTTATTTTCATATTAATTTCAATGCGAAAAATTGCTTCGTAATACGAGTAAATCGCAATACGAGCTCGGTCTGGGAACGATTTAAACTCGTACTGCGAGGTTCTACTGTATATCCTTTATAACCAGCAAAAATATATACATTTTTGTGAAGAAAAAATTTCAATTATTATTGTTTATTTTTACATAAAATACAAAAATTCACCTTGTACACTCAACACATGAAAAAACTAGCTCACATATATACATGTTACACAATTAACTGCTTCAGCATAATTTACATTTTTACTGTCTTTTAGAAAGAGCAGTTTTGACATTTGTTAACCATGCAAAACTGTTGTGTTCTTTAAGAAATATGTCTGGAATCATAATGTCAGGGCCTGCACCTGGGACCTCAACCATTCTGACAGTATTCTTTCCAAAACATTTCTTTTCATATTCTATTAACTGGCTGAAGAACCCATTGTTAGGACGTACAACAGGACGACGTTTTTTCAGGTAATGATAGGCACTTCGCAGCTTCATATTCTGATATTTCATAAGATAAACTATGAAATAAGGGAAATAAAATATTTCATTATGATGTCATGACTATCAATCAAAACAATATTTCCTTTTGCCAGGTAATTTAACTTAGTTACTTTATTTTTTGTGAATGCCATAGATTTATCATTAAGATACCAGATTGATTATTTTTGAACAACTCTGAAATCAGCTATTAAACTTAATTTTTGACACATTAAATCATCTATACGTCTTTTATTAATTGTAAACTTTACCTTCCAGTACCTAATAACTAAGAAAACTGATTTTCTTTCTCATTAAATTTTTTTTTTTCCCCATAGTCCTTGCGGACCGTCGAGCCAATGGCAGATCTTGCTCTGCCATCGTTTCTAAAGCTGTTTCTTACGTCAAGTATGCAACCCACTTGACAGCCTTCCCTCTTTGAAAGGACGAGCATGTTTGGTGGGACTGGGATTCGAACCCGCGACCCTCAGATTGCGAGTCGAGCGCCTTATCCACCAGGCCATGCCGGGCCCCATTAAAATTTACTCATTATAATTATATTATATTGGCTTTAATGCTTCTGAAGAATAGCAAAACAACACTGGAAAAGCATACATAACAGGAATAAACTGGCAAAAGACATTAACTAGAATTTGAAAAGTGCACCAATGAAATTGGTTTTGTAAAAACATACAAAGGCTTGTTGATAACATCATATGATATAATAATTTTCTACTGGGAAATTCTGAATTGAAGAAACTGATTAATGACCTACATTTGAAAAATCATATATGAATTCATAAGTATAACACAAATGACAAAACCTTTAATGATAGTTATTAAAATTATCAATAATCTTTTACTTATTATTTAGGGCTCTTGATAAAAAGTGATTTATATGGAAGACAGATAATTAAAAAAATAACTTGTAATTTTACTAAAACAATCCTGTGTACTTTCCACTATTATCATAGTACCTGAATTATCCGAATAAACTGGGCAAGTCTTATTTAATGAGGCATAACATTTTTGTATATGCTTATACAGAGGTTAGCACTTTAAAACCAACAGATTATTTCCTCTTGTTCTTGTATAGGGTCATGTGGCCAAACATCACCATACGATTAATCTTTACCAATAAAGCTATATATTATACTCACCAAGACAAAGCGTAGCTGAACGGCTTGCTCCACACAGACAGTGTACTAAGGTCTTGCCTCCTTTCTTCTTAATTTCATTTATCTTATCTGCAACTGGATCAAAATGAGGAGTTATGTCAACCAGAGTTGAGTCATCTACCTACAGAATATTGAACACAAAAAAATATCTGTAAAATTGAAAATAAACACATAAAACGTTTACAAATAATACTGAAAAATGTAATTCACTATTATTTGAACAAAACTGAATTACAACAAAACATTTAATATTTTAGTAAGACTTACTAAAATATTTTACTTTGTAGGTAAAAAAGTAGCAATTAATATATTGTCTAATAAATAATTGGGGCAGCATAGCCTAGTGATTAGTACTTTGGACTTTTATTTGAAATGCTGCAGGTTCAAGGATTGCCCAGGGCATATTGTTGTGTCCCTTAACCCAACTGGTCCAGTTATACCTAGATGTATAATGAATAACTGCAGATAGCTGTGGGTATAACCTGCAGTGGAATGGCATCCCCACCAGGGGAAATGTGTCACCATTCTCATCTGCTTGCCCCACAGGAAACATAACGGCAAATGCATTATATACATTTAAAAAAGAACAGTTGAATAAATGAGGCCATGAAAGTATCTAATGCTAACATTCCAGTGAGACGACCAAATAAGAATATGAAACACTCGAAGTAAAGTATACAGGTAACTTGGAAATACATTCCAGACCAAAACATGAGAAGTTATCAGTTCTTCTTACCAGTGCCAAACAGATGCCATTAGAGAAAGTAAAAAATATATAGGATATTGAACACCAGAGCTAAAGGAAGTGGCTTTATAAAAAACTGAATAACAGAACTTTAATGAGAAGCAACAAGTGGAAGAATATATGTAAAAAGACCAAAGTTAATTGGTTTGTATACATACATTTGGAGTTAGTGGGTTTAGATGCCTTTGCCCATATCAAGGAATGATGGGCAAGAATCAGTTCTTTACAACCCAATCAACAAGTAGTTATGGTTTTGGTTTGATAGAAGACCCCAAAAGTATCAATCTGGTTTAAAGAATCACATACAGAATTGAAAAATTTGAACTTCTTGATAAGTCACAATTATACTAATTAAGTAGTACAAAACACAATGATTTTGGTGCTGGAGCCAGATCTCTACTTGATCCAGACTTTTCCAGGATCTCCGCTGCACCTCCAAATCCAGAATGGTCATACTACCAAACCTTGCAAACATTCACCCCACAAACTCCCTGTAAGTAATTATTGCTATATCTATCTAGTCTAACAATGTATCTAGTAAATGATATGTTATCTCTGAGGAAATAACCATATTAAGATTTAATTCTGTTAAAGATCTAACTAAACTAATTGAAAATGTAAGATGAGTTATTAAGAGACATACTGGAAGAGATATCAACAGAATTGCATAAGCATAATTATGACTGAAGTAAAATCCTGTGTTAACTTGGTTGATAATTTGTTTGTTGCAGTTTCAATGTTGATGAATCTTATAAAGGTTTTAATTAACAAAGATTTAGTTATCCAGAACAAAGAATTTAGCAATTTCGATGTAGGATTATTTCAAAATAGCTTCACAACTGTCAATGTAAATGAGTACTTGAATATATTGAATTAAACTGATTTTGTATTACAATAATCAGTCTCTGACTGAATTTATTTATTCCAAATGTAAATTCCTTAAGTTGGTGACTTGTGTGCTCAATCCATGACTGCATAACCTGATGATAAATAAATTTATTTATAACTTATGTAAAGTCTACTCAAAACGACCACCTATCAGCCACCTCTTACACCAGTCTTATGTAATTAATGCCTTTCATGCATAAAAGGACTAATATATATAGTATATTAAAAAATTCTTTGTTAAACCAACTAACTAAAACAAATAGTCTGCTTGATAGAGTCTTCTGAGAGGAAGAAAGTTTACATTAAAACACTGGACAATAATGCAGTATAAAAATATCTTACTAAACAAAATTAATTATAAATTCTACAATAAAATTCAAGCCAAATATTTCAGCTTCACAATATACCAGTATAATTTTTATATGTTGGATTACTGCAGTTTCTAACCCTGATTTATTATCATTTCCACAGTGTACATGATATATATTGTCAATAAAGAATAAATTTAATTTTTTCTTGACACATAACTATTCATGTGTCTAAATAAATGAGTAAAATTGATCCAACACCATGTGTTTATTCACAACTTCTTTTATGGCTTAGTTTCACATACTCAATTTAGTACTGTAAATGTAAATAATAATCTTACCAATTAATACTGAATCCTATATTTCTTAAATATCTTAATAATCATTAAATATTTTGTGCTTGTTCATTTAATGTTTGACACTTTCACCCAAATTTCAACATAAAATTAATTACTTCTTACTGAAATGTGAAATTTCAAAGGAAAACTTAACATGCTCAGCTATACCTGATAGAATAGCATTATTATTGTATATGAAATTGTACACAAAACAACATCCATATATATTCTTTGCAGATATTTTCTTTATATATTTTATAATCCATTAGTCAATCATACAGATATTCAAACTATCAGTGTCAGGTATCACATACCAATATTCTAGTATAATCAAGGTCGGCAAAAGGAAAAGGTGGAGATGTAAGAGTGATATTGATCACTGCAGTAATTCCATAATTTTTCAAATTTTGTTCTGTGACAGCATGTGCTCCAGAAATAAAAAGATGATCATTTACTTTTGAAAATTCATTAGACATTGCCATCACTGATCAGATGTCCTCTTGAACACCTGAAACATCATAATTGCAAACAAAATTGTTAAGATCTTCCTAGATCGGTACAGTCAGTTAAATGTACTTTATTTTCGTTAAGCATCTGAAGAGTGAAAAATTCATATATAAAAATTAATATTCTAAAAATAACAGATGTACATTGAAATAAATCAATTAAAATTTATCTGAATTTCTAATGTGTAAGAAATTAATTTTGTAATCTGTCTTTTTAATAATTTAGTAGCACCGAAAACTTTTTTGTAAATGCTGAATAACTCTAAATAATTGTATCCTTCAGAGTGAATTTTTTGTCATACACACCTTTGCAAAGTTAAGTACCCATTCCAAAAAAGAACTAAATTTGCTACTCACATTAGTATATTTAATAACATTGTCATCATTTTACAATCAAAAATGTAAATAAGAAAAATGACAACAAAGGCCCGAGTACTGATTCCCAAAATATTCCACCGGTAATTTGGGTCTAGTTTGACTGGACTCCATTAGGTTTTTCCTATGCAACCACTCTATAATCCAGTGTTATTTTTGTAGTTAATCTTTTGTGGGGTACTTTATGAAAAGCTTTTTCAAAAAAAGTAATCCAAGTCAATACCCTTTCCATCATCCAGGTAACAAGTGATGTCCTCAAAATAAAAAAATAACAGGTTAGTAAGGAAGATGGTAATGAAGATGTGCAATTTTTATGTTGAGTTTGTAGGTTGGAGGAAAAGTTAGAGGCAATCATGATTAAATTAGATGCAATAGATAAAGAGAAATGTAGATTGGGGGAAATGGCAGCAGGATTTCAGGAGGAGTTTAAGCTTTTACATGCAAGGGATACATCAGCTAACAATGATCTTAAGGAAGTTAAAAAGAGTATTGTTAGGGCTAAAAGTGGTGAATTTAGTTATAATGAGCCTATTTTGTTGAGCAACAAATTTCAGCCCTTGGCTTCTGCAGATGAAGAACTATTGGAGGGAATGTAAACAAAAGGGTCAGAGAAGGATGTTGGTGATTCCTTGATAAGCCATGTGATTAGAATAGTCTGTGTAGTAAATAAGGAGAAAAGAATCAAATTATGATACCTAAGGGCACAGGTGGAGAATATAACTGACAGAGCAGGAGATATAACAAAGGGGGCTAGCAGAGATGCAGTTTTTGTAGTGCATGTAGGGGCTAATGATTTAGGGAAAGGTAGGTCAGAGGAGCTAACTAATAAGTATAATGGGTTGATAAAGGCATTTAAAGAAAA